CTGGCCTATTTGTTTATCCTTGTGTCAATAACATACTGTTCTGCATAGCCTATTTGTATAATGTCTTTACATCTGGCACAGTTAAATCCTCCAAATTTGTTCTTCAAGATTGATTTGGTTCTTCTTGTCCCTTTGCATTTTCTCATAAAATTTTAAAATCTGTTTGCCAGTTTTCACCATAACAAACAAATCAACCAACAACCAAAAACCCTGCTGGGATTTTAACTTGGGTTTGCACTAAATCAATATCTAGTTGGGAAGAACTGACACTTGTACAATATTGAGTTCTCATCAGTGAAAGTTTTATGTTCCTCTAATTATTTAGGATTTCAATTTATCTCTAGAGCATTTATACTGATCTGTGTAGAAGGCTTGAACGTCTTTCACTAGAGTTATTCCTATATGTTTGAGATTTTTGATTCTATTTAAAATAGAATCATCTAACATCTTATTTTCTAATTGTTTATTGCTAATATGCAGAACTAATTCTATATTAACTTTATATCCAGTGATTTTCTCAAATTTTAATAGTTTATACATTGTTTAGGATAGTCTTTATTTTGTAGTGTCATTTATTTGTTATTATTATTATTATTTTGTGCATCAGGTGAAAGTTTACAGCTCAAGTTAATTTCTCATTCAAAAATTTATATACATACTGTTTTGTGACATTGTTTGCAATCCCCACAATATGACAGCACTCTCCTTTCCTCCCCGGGTTCCCTATGTCCATTTGACCAGTTCCTGTCCCTTCCTGCCTTCTCATCCTGCTTTTGGACGGGAGCTGCCCATTTTGTCTCATATATCTCATTGAACTAAGAAGCACGTTCCTCATGTGTATTATTTTTTTGTCTTATACTCCTATCTAATCTTTGTCTGAAGAGTGGGCTTTGAGAATGGTTTCAGTTCTGCGTTAACAGAGCATCCGGGGGCCACAGTTTCAGGGGTTTCTCCAGTCTCTGTGAGACCCGTAAGTCTGGTCTTTTTACGTGAATTTGAATTTTATTCTACATTTTTCTCCTGCTCTGTCCGGGTGTCTCTGTTGTGTTACCTGTCAGGGCAATCATTGGTGGTAGCCAGGCACTATCTAGTTCTTCTGGTCTCAGGCTGGTGGACTCTCTAGTTCATGTGGTCCTTCAGTTCTTTGGGCTAGTATTTTCCTTGTGTCTTTGTTTTTCTTCATTCTCCTTTGCTCCGAGAGGGATGGGACCAATAGATGTATCTTAGATGGGCACTCTCAAGCTTTTAAGACCCCAGATGCTACTCACCAAAGTGGGATGTAGAATATTTTCTTTATAAACTATGCTATGACAATTGACCTAGATGTCCCCTGAAACTATGGTCCCCTGGTCCTAGTCCCAGCTACTCTGTCCCTCAAAGTGTTTGGATGTGTCTAGGAAACTTCTTTGCTTTTGCTTTGGTCCAGTTGTACTGACTTCCCTTGTACTGTGTGTTGTAAACATCAAAGAGAATGCTTTTTTCTGTGTTTAAACCTTTTCTTGAGTTCTTATAATATTTGTCCTTTGGTGACTTATTTCATTCAGCATAATGCCCTCCAGATTCATCGTTGTTCTTTATCGTTGCATAGTATTCCATTGTGTGTATGTAACATAATTTGTTTATCCATTCATCTGTTGATGGGCATTTAGGTTGTTTCCATCTTTGCTATTGTGAATAGCGCTGCAGTGAACATGGGTGTGCGTATGTCAATTCGTGTGAAGGCTCTTATTTCTCTAGGATACATTCCTAGGAGTGGGATTGCTGGATCATATGGTATTTCTATTTCTAGCTTTTTAAGGAAGCACCAAATCAGTTTGCAAAGTGGTTGTACCATTTTACATTCCCACCAGCAGTGCATAAGAGTTCCAATCTCTCCACAACCTCTCCAACATCTATTACTTTGTGTTTTTTGGATTAGTGCCAGCCCTGTTGGCATGAGAGAGATGGTATCTCATTGTAGTTTGATTTGCATTTCTCTAATGGCTAATGATCATAGGCATTTCCTCATGTGTCTGTTAGCCACCTGAGTGTCTTCTTTGGTGAAGTGTCTGTTCATATCCTTTGCCCATTTTTAATTGAATTGTTCGTCTTTTTGTTGTTGAGGTGTTGCAGTATCTTGTAGATTTTAGAGATTAGACCCTTATCGGATACGTCATAGACAAAAATTTTTTCCCAGTCTGTAGGTTCTCTTTTCACTCTTTTGGCGAAGTCTTTTGATGAGCATGAGTGTTTGATTTTTAGTTATCTAGTTTCTCTTCTGGTGTTTGTGCATTGTTAGTTATGGTTTGCATACTATTTATGCCATGTATTAGGGCCCCTGGCACTGTCCCTATTTTCAGTTCCATGATTTTTATCGTTTTAGATTTTATATTTAGGTCTTTGATCCATTTTGAGTTAGTTTTTGTGTATGGTGTGAAGTATGGGTCCTGTTTCATTTTTTTAACAGATGAATATCCAGTTATGCCAGCACCATTTGTTAAATACACCATCTTTTCCCCATTTAACAGACTTTAGGTCTTTGTCAAATATCAGCTACTCATAGGTGAGTTCAGGATACTCTTAATACATAATCAGGACATCAGTAAATAATAAGAATCTTAGTTGTTCCTTTTCACTATGTATATATTTTATTTTGTTTTCTTGCTTTATTGTACTGGTTAGGATTTCTAACATACTGGTGAATGGAAGTGGTGATAGCAAGCATCCTTATATTATTCCTGCTATCAAGGATAAAGTTTTCAATATTTCACTATAAACTGTGATATTTGCTATAGGTTTTTTTGTGGGTACCCTTTATAAAATTAAGAAAATTTCCTTCTTTTGATAATTTATTAAGTTTTCTTCTATTTTTTACAGTATGAACGGATGTTGAATTTAATCAAATGCATTTTCTGTGCCTATTAATTCTTATGTAAATTTATGTAAGTAAATAATTCATGAATAAGTAAGTTCTATGTTTACATACATTTAAAAATTGAATACTTTTCAAAGCTTTCACAAGTATCAGTCTGCTCAGAGAAATCACTATCATTTTTGTTTCAGGGCATAACAAAAACATTTATTATTAAATAGTCTATACACATGCCAAATATATAGTAGTAAATAATGACAACATTTTAAATCATCACTATTAAACAATTTTGAAAAAAAAAATGTTCAATTTTTCTACTGAATAATAAATATTTTAATCAAGCTGCAATTAGGGCAACTTTCTACTTGTTCCATTTTAATTTTGTCTGTTTCAAGCATTCATGCAAATTTAACTATTAAATGATAGTTGATTAACTCACCGGTCATATTGCAATACGCAAGAAATGGTCCCAGGGGGCCACTTCCATCTGAGTCTATATAGTAAAACCCTGAAGTATTTCCTCTGTGCTTATAGGCTTCACATGACTGTTCATAAATAGCTGTAAAAAAGAGATCATCATAAATGGAATAGGAAGAAATGAATTCCTTAAGTTTTAATTTGGACACAAAATACTCCCAAGTCTTCAAATTTAGTATATACATTACCAACGAGGAAAAGGGTACGACGTACTTTAAAATATAAAACTCTTTCTAATATGGATGAAAATAGATTCAATAGAAAAAAAGAAAGAAGTTGTATTTTATGACATTTATTTTTACATTACAAGGAATAAGGAAGGAGCAGGTAGGTGCTTAAATGTTAAGACACTTAAAAGTAAATGTGATACCTTTATCTTGTAACATCCATTTCGCACTAATTCTAGCATCACCTTTTAATACTGAACATCTGAAACATGTTAGTGTAATCTTCTTAAATAATCCACTGCTATCCAATAAATATGCAATAAAAAAGTTTTAAATAAAGTTTTACCTATACTCTTTTCTCACATGCTTTGTAATGGGAATTCAAGGCAGTTGAAATTCAAAGCAGAAGAAACTTATATGAAATATGCCTCCAATTGGTCTCAGTAAATCTGATCCATAATGGGATGTTTTTGATTATCTAATTACATTTTTTGCCATGCACAAGATTTTATAGTAACACCTGTGTGTGATGCATACTTCTTATTTAACATTTGGTCAAATGTACCAATAACTTCCATTAAGCTTTTTATTCTATGAAATGCGAAAGAAACAATGCCCATATCCTTCTCTGAATGTATTTTAAATTTTTGAAAATCATTTTAATGAGTGTTTAGACAACATGGACTCATGTAGTTAATTTGTTCAATGTTAAAAAAAATTCCAGATAATCACACAAATTTACCTTCCCACTCTTCCACAAGCTAATGATTTTATTTGTTCTTATCATATGTTAAACCAAAACTAAACCAGCTGCCATTGAGTTGACTCTGACTCATAGTGACCCCATGAGTGTCAGAGTAGAATTGAGCTCCATAGGGCTTTTAATGGCTACCATCTTTTCGAAGTAGATCTCCAGGCCTTTCTTCCGAAGTGCCTCTGGGTGGATTTAAATCACCAACCTTTTGGTTAGTAGTCAAGCGCTTAACATCTGCACCACCCAAGGACTCCTAGTGTATATTACATAGATGGAAATACACACATAGGATATTTTTCAGTTCTATTTGTATTTTGTGTCAGTTAAGTAAGGGTGTAAAAATGCTCTCTTTTTATATTTTTATATGCGTATACTTATGGTCAGGAGCCCTGGTGACACAGTGGTTAAGCCCTTGGCTGTCAACCGAAAATGCAGTTCAAACCCACCAGTTTGCTTCCGTGAAGATTTACAGACTTGGAAACCCTATGGGGCAGTTCTACTCTGTTCTATAGGGTCTCTACGAGTCCGAACTGACTCAGTGACAATGAGTTATACATATGGTCATAAATCTCTTGAATGAGGTTGGCAGGATGCATAAATTTGAGGTGGGGGCTGGTACTAGAGAGGACTTATGATTGGGTAGGGGCAATTAGGGGTCTTTTGCTTTATGTGTATTGTTTGACTTTTACCGAATGATGTTTAACGTATTATTTGTCTAATAAAACCCTTTTAAGGGCCCCATTCCTGCTCCTCCCTCTCCTCATGCTTAAAGACAGTGATAGCTTCACTATAACAAGTTCTGTCATTCTGGCCGCATTTCTCAGAATGGTTGTTGGCAAAAGACTTTCAGCTCCTTATGAATCATCTGCTCAAGAACCTAAATAAATTAACTCAATTACTGGCTGAAATGGTGGGCTGCAGAAAAAAATAGCTTTTTTATTTATCGTTTGGTTTTCTTCCCAAAGCAGCTTGTGATTATACTTAAACTCAGTCATTGATAACAATTAAAAATGAATACTTAATTACTTAAAACCCACTTAGTAGTTTTCTGGTTTGAGTTAGGTACTACATTGGGGAAGGTGGAGAATACCAAAAAAATAAAATATACTGTCCCTCCACTAGCTGGGTGACCCCGCTCAGGTAACGTGGCCTCTGGTTACACATGAGGTGTGGCTTTGGCGACAGCAAACATTCCTCATGAACTCATATTAGGCACTCTCATATACACAATCAATGCCAGAGAAACACTATGGCTGTAGTAGTAGAAGCATTTAGGGGTGGGGCCAGGAGCACCTCTTGATCACACCCTCTCCTGCCCTGAATCAGGACTTCTGAGGGTCCACTGTGGAGCCAACAGGACTGGAAGCCAGGACCCCAATCTGCACTCTGGCAGGAGTACCAAGCCATAGACCAGTGCAAGGGACTGGGGGTGGTGAGACTGGCGGCTGCATCTAACACTCCTGCCTGATGTCAAGGCTGCAGGAAAGAGGACTAGCAGAGAAGTTGCTCAGAAAAGTGAGTAGTGATATCTTAAAAAGGAAAGGAAAAAATGGCATTTCAGTCTCCCCAAACCCCCATGATATGTTCCTACAGGTTACTGAACAACAGAATAGCATGAACAGTTCATCAGAAAAGATGGTTTATAACACAGGAAAAGGGTATTGGGGTATGACTGCAAATGTCCTCATCCTTACTTGTCTCAACTATTGAAGTAGGCTCCGGCAAGTTGATTAATATCTATTTCCTCGTGAATAAACTAGAGGTAATAATAGTACCCACCTCTGACGTTTGTCCTCAGAATTAAAAGAACTAACACTTATAAAACACCAGATCAGTGCCTGGCATTTAGACAGTATTCAATACAATTAGCTGTTACGATGAATACAATCATTATCTACCACTGTCATCCTCATCACTCTCATCAAACACGGTTGGAAGAGAATTTAAGCATTACGTAGTCTCTCTTAAACATCTAAATTTCCATACCACAAGCCACCCCGCCCCAGTCCATCTGGTGCTGCTTCTGAGAATATCTTTATTAAATTGTAGGAACACTAAGAACTGGTAACTGAGTATGTTTCCATCTATACTTTAGTTTCTAGAAAGCTTAGAGTCAAAATGTAGGCCCAGTTCAAATACCTGAACAAGATTATGTCACATGTTCTGCATTTATATTTTATTTTTACCCTTCTGCTATCCCACCCATATGTTCCCTTTGCCAGTTACACTACTCTTTTCTATCTTGTTTTATATTATGTGTTCCTGTCATCTATCTTGACTACTTCATGAGGTGGGTTAAAACAAACTAGAAATCAACTGGATGCCAAAATTCAGGGTTGTACATTCCAGCACATGGTCGAACATACACGGACACACATAACACCACAGTGAAATGGGAAATGGAACAAGGAAATCAGAGCAGAGGCAAGAACAAGCAGGTGTGTTTGTTCGGCTTACAGTTATGGCAAGTTGCTCCCCTGTACCCTGTGTGCGCACAGTCGCAGCGGAAGGTGTTCCAGGACTGGGAGCATTCACCGCCATGCTCACAGTAGTTGGGCAAACACCTAAAAGAAGGTGCAGATACAGTCACCATTTTTCACTTTTACATATCATGAAATATACATCATTTATCTGAAAACATGGTCCTATGAAAGAAGAATGCCAACAATAACATAAAGAGGAAATTCAATAACTAATGGTCACTCAGTCTGGCGTTACTGAAAAAAAAAAACAAAAAACCCAGTCAAACTCATTGCCATCAGGCCGATTCTGACTCATAGCAACCCTATGTCATTAGGATACTTTAATCATAGAACGAAACCTTAGGTCAATAAATTCACCCAATTTCAACCGATACTTAGGTAGTTATCACTGCTTAATTTTCAACGTGTTCCACTATATCACAGACTTTTATTTTCCCCAAATGGCATAATACTAATTAAATACGTTGCCAAGTATATTAACTGCTTACATAAAATTAAAATATTTGAGCATACTGAATTACTACATTGTGTGAATACTAAAGGAAGAAGGAATTAAAAAAAAAAAAAGAGGGGTAAAGAAATAGGTAGGAGGGAGGGACATCTTTATTACTTAGCATATATGTCCAGAAATGTTGAAGGACACATAGTATAGACCCACAAATTACAAGCTGTGTGACAAGGTGCCCCAGAATGCTGCATAAAACTCACAGGGGCTCCCACAATATTTTAAATTTTCAAGAGAAATACAGGAAGACTCAACATCTGTCAATGACTGAGGTGTTCAGTTAGGCAAAATAACGTATTATCTGCTTCCTTTGAAAACATGGTTGGAGTCCGTTGAAGAATAGCCTACTCGAGGTAGTTCAGTCTCAACATCAGATCGAAATACATTCCTTTTAATGACATGCTATCTTTGTGAAGCTGAGTTTTTAGTAGCTGTTTGATAAAAAACAAGTACCAGGCAAAATCAGCATGGGACAAAAAATGAGGGTGGTGGTGTCCAATCGGCTTCCAAGCTTTGAAGTGCTGCACAGTGCCCAATAGGTACAGACATCTGATTACCAAATAATTTTGTGTAATTAAAAATGAAATAAAAATATTATTTTTCTTTCAAATTATATGTAGTACTTCTTAAAAGGGCTATTAAGTTGTTAGAACATAAATACTTATTAAATTGTTTGGACCAAAATCACTTACTAAACAGAATGGTTAGGCATTTCTTTTGGCTTAGAGAGCTGTGTAAAATCTACCAAGACATGTAGGACACCATGAACTAAAAACGTTTGGGAACTTCTGGTATCAACTCAAGTGGCCCTAATCAGATTATTGATGCTTTTTAGAATTTAGAATGAAAGACAGATTGAGACCAAGGCTTTAAATGCTTTCATTCATTCCAGATTAAAAAATAAATAAACTAGAAAATCTGTCAAGAATATATTTTGTGATGGAGTTGCTGTCACCTTCTTTATTGAAACTGAGTATTGGCACTTAATATTTTGCTTATAGGATTTTTTCCCAAGTTTACCTGAAAATGTTATCTATTGTTCCTGGTTATAAAAAATAGATGTCCACTGTACATAAATCAAACAATCTGAGAAAGAATACAGAAGAAATACATTTACAATATCACTACATAGACATTACCACTATAAACATATCTACATATACCTGGGTGTTTATAATTTTCATAAATTTAATCATAAAGTACATCTATTTTATAACCTGCTTTTTAAGGATTCAAAAAAAAATAATAGGCATCTTTCCATGCCAATAACATTGATATATTTTTAGCATTTTTATAGATCCACAATAATTCATTCAAAGAATGTATCATGATTTACTTAAGCTTTTAAGCATTTCAAATCAATGGTGTCTCCAAGGCAAAGGGAGATAAAAAATTAAAACAAGGGGCAGAGCCAAGATGGTGGACTAGTTAGATGCACTAAGCCATCCTGCTGCAACAAAGACCCAAAAAACTGAGTAAAACAGATACAGAGTCAATCCTAGAACCGTGAGCCTTAAATGAAGGGATAAAGTAATACATTGGAAGCTACTGAGAAGAAGAAACTGATAGAAAACGGGGAAGCAACAGAGATATGAAGTAGAGTTTCCTAACCAAATGGCATGACTCAGCGTTGCCATCTTGGAATAAAGCCAATAACCCCACACGCAGGAAGTCACCTCCATAGAATTCCCAATAGAAGATAAAGGTACGACGCAGACAAACCCGGGACTAAGTAAGACCACGTTTGCTGGCTGCAACTCAAGGAGAGGCCCAGACTTCTCTCGCCCGGTATCCACAGGATGACGCTCCTACAACCACCACCCCTCTGATGAACAGTGGCTATAATCACCCCATTGCGGCAACCCTGACTGCCAGGAACCAGAGTACCAGCCCACCCTACTGCCCTCCTCCATCTAGCCCCTTCTGCCCCTGATGTTGCCCCCTCTCCTACCTCTCTCTTTCACCCTGCCACCCGCTACACTGAGGGGACCAGGCCCAGACCACAGGCCTCTTCCCGCCAGCTCCGGACTCTCCCGCCATGGCACTGAGGGGACTTGGCCAGGACTCCAGGCACCTTCCCGCAGGCTCCAGGCCCATCCTGACATCTGCTGCAGAACCTAGGGGACCAGGCCTGGACCCCAGTCCCCTTTCTGCCAGCTGCAAGACCCTCCCACCACCTGCCACAGCCCCCAGGGGCCCAGGCCCGGACCCCAGTCCCCTTCCTATTGGCTCTGAACACCTCTCACTGCCTGCTGCCACCCCAAGGGGATCAATCCTGGACTGCAGGACCCTTCCTGCTGGCTCCAGAACCCTCCCACCACCCACTGCAGCAAAAAGGGATCAGGCCAGGGCCTCAGGTCCTTCCACAGCAGCTCAGGACCCCCCCTGCAGACCACAGAGGCCCAGCTCCAGCCCTGGCCTGGTTTATACTGCAGACAAACGACCCATCTCCACCCCTTTCATGCCTGCTGGACCTGCCTGCTGTACCATAGCTGAGCAATCGGCCCTGCACACCAGGACAAGGTGGTGAGAACTATTGTGCCAACAGACGAGCAAGCAACAAAGCATATTCAGCCCACCCAACGAGACATAATCAAACAAAACAAAAAAGCAGGACAAAGCAAACAAACCAACAATAAATAAATAAAGAAAATAATACCTGAATGTCTCGGAAACAGCAGACAATATCAAAACATATTTAAAAAAACAGGACAAGATGGCTCCAGAAAGCAACTAGAATAAAGCATCAGTTGACATTCTAGCAGAAGAAAAGTCACCAGAACTTCCTGATAGGGAATTTAAAAGTCTAACACTCAGGGCTCTCCAAAAGATTATGAAAGAGATCAAGGAATATGTAGACAAAGCAACAGAAGAATTCAGAAACATAATACAAGAGCAAAACGTCAAAATAAATAAACAATTAGAAACCATACAAAAACAGCAATTAAAAATCTAAAAGATAAACAACAAAATTTCAGAAATGAAAAATGCAATAGAAGGTTTTAGGAGTCTATTTGAAATAATG